GAAATATTATTTGGCCATAGAAAGGAATGAAGTAGTAGCTGGGCGCAGTGGCTCACGCCTGTAATCCTAGTACTTTGGGAGACCGAGACAGGTGGATCATGAAGTCAGGAGTTCAAGACCAGCTTGGCCAACATGGTGAAACCCCGTCTCTACTAAAAATACAAAAAATAGCCGGGCGTGGTGGCATGAGCCTGTAATCCTAGCTATTTGCGAGACTGAGAAAGAAGAATCGCTTGAACCTTGGAAGTAGGTGGAGGTCACAGTAAGCCAAGATTATACCATTGCACTCCAGCCTGGGCGACAGAGCAAGACTCCAGCTTGGGGTGGGGTTGGGGGAAGAAAGGAATGAAGTACTGATACATGCTACAACATGGGTGAACCTTGAAAACATGCTAAATGGAAGAAGCTAGTCACAAATGACCATGTATTGGATGATTCCATTTATATGAGGTATCTAACATAGGCAATTCCATAGAGACGGAAAATAGATGAATGGTTGCTTAGGGGTGGAAGAGCAGAGGAACGAAAATGACTGCTAAAGGATACGGGATTTCTTTTGGGGGTGAAGAAAATGTTTTGAAATTGATTGTGGTAATGTTTTCACAGCTCTGTAAATATACTAAAATCCAGTATGCTTTTTTCTTTTTGAGATGGAGTCTTGTCTGTTGCCCAGGCTGGAGTGCAGTGGCACAATCTTGGCTCACTGCAGCCTCCACCTTCTGGGTTCAAGTGATTCTCCTGCTTCGCCTCCTGAATAGTGGGACTACAGGCGCATACTACCATGCCCAGCTATTTTTTGCGTGTGTTTTTAGTAGAGACAGGGTTTTGCCATGTTGGCCAGCCTGGTCTCAAACTCCTGACTTCAGGTGATCCACCCGCCTTGGCCTCCCAAAGTGCTGGGATCACAGGCGTGAGCCACTGTGCCCAGCTAGGACACTCTAAATGAATGGATTTCATGGTATTTAAATTATATCTCAAAAAATCTGGTAAAAATGTCAATGATAAACTCTAGGTAATGGGTATTTCAAAGGTGCTCGTGTGAAATTTAAACTTTGCTGTATGCTTGAAAGTTTTTATAATAGAATGCAGAAGGGAAAAGGAGAGTGAGGGAAGGGGGGTGTGATGTCCAGCTGAGTGCTGGTTCATCAGGCACAAGGGACTTTTCTGGGAAAGGCACAAGGAGGAAGCACAGGAGAGGACGAGGGGGATGCAGCTGCCCAGTCCCTCCCATCTCTCGTTTCCATTGTCAAGGATTATCCGAAGAGCTATATTGCCCACATGTCATCCAGCCGATTAGCAGCTGCCCAGGAAATAAGGCTCCATGTCCCACAGGATGGTGTTTCATCCAATTCTGAAAGTGGAGGGCAGCCCAGCCTGGATGTGCTGCCAACAGAGAGCGGTCCAAGAGGAAGAGAAAAGGAGGTGGTAGAGGGAATGTAGGAAGGTGCGTGAGGTTTGTGGTCCAGTACACCAACATGATGACCTTTCTCAATGACATACTTTGGTGTGGGGCTGTTTTCATCCATGGTGCTGGCTATCCCAGCTATCAGCTGGCCCCTCAATCCAGCAATCAATGGCTGTCTGTACTGGGAAATTTTCTCATACTATTTGCACATGTGTGTGTGTGTGTGTGACAGAGAGAGAGAGTTTCAGTGTGTCACCCAGGCTGGATGTGCAGTGGCTGGATCATGGCTCACACTCACGCACATATGCATACTCACCACACTCATACACACTCATACACCCACACACATACACACACACACACACACACACACATACCCTCTCACATGCACATACACACTCACATACACATACACTCACATACACACACTGACCCCTTGGGCCTTCCTGCATGTGCTCCACACTCTATTGAATCAACCTTCTGACTTGTCTGTCTCTGCCAGTTTCCAAATCCTCAAGGGCAAGGGCCAGGCCTTATAGGTCTGGGTATCCTGGAAATTCATTGCAGGGCATGACTCAACAAATGTTTTCTGTGTAATGAATGGAAAAGATATAGTCACCATCTATGCTGTTATTTATTTAACAACATGGCATGCACCAGGTGAGGCTGTGTGCTGAGTGCCTGGATTTGGAGACAAAGATGAGTAAGACTGTATCCTCGGCCTCAGAGGCGCCTACAGGACCTTTTTGTCTGGACAAATGCAAAACTGGACAAGACGTCAGGGCAACAGATGGAAACCGGGACTGTCCCCAGCAAACCGGAACATATGGTCACCCAAATTATATACCAGCTTCTCTGAAAACAGCAGTCCCATGCTGACTCATCCATAGCCCGTTAGACCCTAGTCACTTCCAGAACTTTCTTGTACAAGCCCATCATTCTTCATTAGTACTTGGATCGTTTGTTTCTTTGTTTTTGTGATCCATGTAGAAATTATCCATGAAATTTCATATTTCTAAAGCATTACATTAAAAAAGACTTAAGCAACTAGAAATAAAACACCTAATGCACAGCTCAACGCTTTCTTTTTTTTTTTTTTTTTTGAGACGGAGTTTCGCTCTT